TCTGGGAGAGCAGCGTGTAGATGGGAGTCCCCAGCCATACCACTCGCTTGTGACTTCTCTGGAAGGATCTTGACTGTTGTATGAGCTCCTGGGATTTGAACCAGACCTCTGCCCTCTCTTCCCAATTTACAAGGTCCCTAGAGAGCGTTTTTAACTGATGGCGTGTGACCTGCTGGTGCCTGGCCATGGGTTGGCCGGGAGGACACAGTGACCACACTGTGCAGCCATCCCCAGCACTGCTGCATGAAATAGAAAAAGAAATAAATGTTTTGCTCATTCTCAGACCCTGTGCTTGCTGGGGGGGAGTGTTTGAGCCAGGGATGAAGGCACGCATTTCTTGCCCCAAAGTGCCTGTCTGGCAGGGATCATGTTTGGGTCAAGACTGGGGGATTTCAGGAGCAGGTGCCGTTGTGTACAGCCAGCAGAGCTAGTGGCTCCCTCATCCAACAGGATTAACAGTGGTATTTTTAGAATTGGCCCTGCAGAGCAGAGCCATGGCTGCACAATGCCGAGCACAACTCCAGGACCTTGAGAGGTTTGCAGGGTCTGGTCCCCAAAGGGACACCACAGTGAGCAGAACCCAGCCCAGACATGATGGTGGTGGGTGGAGGCTGGCAGTGGCAGAGGTTGCATCTGACAGGAAGCTCTTGGAAATCTCATTTTAGGGGATTTTGGGTTTTCCCTGCTGTGTGAGGGGAACCACCACCTTTAACAATGAGCCAGAGATACTGGAGTTGGTTTGGAGTCGGTTAAAAGGACGCGTGTGCCAGTGGTTGTGCCGTTCTGTGCTTGGGCCCCATGGACCTGCACTTCCAGAGGAAGAGAAGGAAGGGTGATGCTCGTCACCTCCACTGCTTTCCCTGATGCTGGTGGGGCTGGGGAAGCCCTGCTAGCACCGAAAATCCCCTGGAAAATATGATAGTGGGGATAACCCTGCAGCATGGCCAGCCCGGACCCTGCTCAGGGCAGGGACAGCTTGGCCTGGGCTGTCAGGGATATAGGGACCCACGGGGACCTGGAGCATCAACCATGACTGCTGGTGTGGGACCCCATCACCACATGGGTGGGAACGGGGTGAGGGACCCTCAGCACTGCCTTGTCTTCGGCTCCTGTTGTGAGGACTATGGACACTTCCCTGCAGGAAGTCCAGGAGGAGGGTCATCTGGAGCAAAGGCTGTTTACTTTCCTTTCCTGGCTCTGGCAGGACGGGCTATTTATAAATTTTTTCTCTCTTTTTGAGAGTTGTTTTGCTTCCTGAGGTCCATCCCTCTTCTCTTGCAAGGAGGAGAGAGGTGATGCAGAGCAGAGGAACTACAGCCATGCTTGGTCCCTCCCACTGTTGCTGAAGGTGACATTCCTAAGGATCATGGTTATGGCAGTGGGTCTCTGTCTCAGAGGTGGAAACACAAACCCTGTTGCCCTCAGTCCTTCTCCTTTCTCGTGCCTGGGATGTTTGACCTTCTCCAGACCACACTGAATTCAGGGCAATGGCCAAATGTGCCAGCGGGACAAGCTGGGCACTGAAATCCTTGTGTAAGCAGAGGCATGAGATGGACACCACACCCTGCAGAGAGCCATGGGTGGGAAAGCTCTCAGGTTGTCCCCAGGCAAGTCAGTGACACTGCTGGAGAGGAAGTGCCACTGGGACCTGGGGGTCCTCATGTTTATGCTGTCAGAAACTGCTGAGCCATTTCTAACCCTTCTTTGGGGTGGCAGTTCCTTGCCCAGCCCTTCAGTACCCACTTACTGCCCATTGGGACTGCAGCGCTGACATGGGAAGTGTTATCTGGATGGCTCAGGTCTCCTGCAGCTGTAATCGTGGTTTTACAGTTCTCCCTTAGGCTTTTTGAACCCCTTTGTGTCTGGGCCTTGACCTTTTTCTCCTTTCTGCAACAAGGCTCAGAAAGACCTGGAAAAAAGCCATTTTTGGGTGTTTTATTCAGTCCAGCCCTTCGATAAGGGAAAGGGCTGGCTGTGCTCCAGAAAGACCACGCTGTGACATTGGGCAGGTTTACCACGGGCTTGGGGCAGTTTGAGGGGTCTGAAGTCAAAAGAAAGGGCCATGTGGGTCAGTATTGCCATTGAGTGACCTGCCATTTCTTTAGGAAGTGGCAGTGGAGCTCAGAGGAGTGGAGATGATGGACGTGGTTCATGCAATGAACCCTGGAGGTCAGCAGGGCTGTTTGTATCCAGAGATCATTAGTGGGTCAAAAAGAGGTCCCTGAACCACTTGGTACTGAGAAGTCTCCAAGGCAATGTCCATTAAGGAAAAGTGCTTGCCAGTGTTTCTTTTGCTGTCGAGTTCCTTGAGAGCATTTACTCTCAAACTGTTGCTCAAGACACATCTGTCAGGAGGTTATTGGGCTGTAGGAGTAGATGGAGACCGAGTTGGCTGGCTGGAGGAGTGGTGAGCAGGTTTTAAGAGCCTGACATGGACAGAACTGTGATCCCATCCATCAGGGAGCTGGCAGTGCCTGGCTGGGCCGTGTCCTCTGCTGCTCTTGCCCACCCAGCTTTGCTCAAGGCCGGGAAAGGCTCCCTGTCGGGTCGTCCCTTCCGCTCTCTTTGTTTTCCTGCAAAATGCAAACTGGGCTTGGTCTGTGCATTGTTTTAAACTTGGGATTTTTTGGAAAAAAATAGCTAAAATGTTAGTTTCTGGATTAAGTGTGTGATGGAGAAGAAAAACTGTAGCAAAGCCTGTGCTGGAGACTCTGAGCTCCAGCCCACTGTTGGAGACCTGAGAGTTTAAACACATTTAAAAAGCTCCCAAATGTTGGACTATTTTTGGATTAATTATTCTGGGGGTGCTGAGAACTGAGACTTGGACACAGACCTGCAAAGCACAAGCTGTGCCAAGCACTGACAGCAGAGCAGGAACTGCTGCAGAGAGCATCTCACCTCTGCAAGCGGGTGATGACACGGCTGGGAGAGCTCTGTGGAAGTCAAACAACAGAGCAGATAAATTGGAGAAAAAGCATCTTTAGTTTTCTTTACTGCCTCCCTCCCTCCTTCCACCCATGTCTAAATATTTCTGACATCCAGGATAGACCATTTTATGGTGCCCTTCATGGGACCCTTCCTGGGCTTTAGAAGGTGGAAGATGTGTGTTGTGCTTTGTGCTTTCCTCTCTCCGTAGCCATAAAGCAGCAGTGATGCTGTTCCCATCAGGTTAACACAGAGATTGAATCGCTCTGTGCATCCCTCCCTGCCCATGCCAGCTGGGACCCCCTCCTTGGGAGCACATTCCAGACACCCATCACTTCCCAGCAGTTCCCTTGCCAGGGTCTGAACCACAGCAGGGGGACGTGTGTGTCTGTGTGTGTCTGTGTGTGTGTGTGTGTGTTTGTGCCTGCCCATGTCTATCCCTAAGCACAGAGAGGCTTTTGCTGGGTCACTGATACACAGCATCCTGAGGAGGCTCTTTGTCCAAGGCTCTCAGTCCCAGGCTCTGCAGTGCCCACCCAGGCTGGTTTTGCAGCCTGACATTCATATTGAGCAGTTTTTGGTTTCCTATAAGAAAGGGAAAGCAGCCCAAAGCTGTATCCTCGCACTTTAACCCCTGTGAGCCCCCCCATCATGTGGCTTGTCTGACACACAAGCTCCAGCTCCGTTTTCCCATTTTCCTCACAATCTCCTTTGGGACTCCCTGTGCTGCTGCCACGGGACGGGACCATGGCTGTCCCCAGCCCCTGCTGGCAGGACAGGGGTGGCTGCATCTGCCTGGTGTCAGCAGCTGTGTTCACAGCCCGTGGCACAGCAGAGAGAGCTGGGGTGGCTGCCACGTGGACGGCCCCCCTCGTCCCACCGGCTGGTCCCAGCCGGGACAGATGGCTCCTCTCCAGAGAACGGATGTGTCCGAGGCATGGAGGGTCCCCACGTCCCCAAGCCCTGCCCCGGGGGTCAGAGCAGAGATGCTTCCTGCGTGGTGGCTCTGCTCCAGCTCCACCCCAGGGGTGGGTGGACATCCCGGGACGAGGGAAGGCTGTGCTCCAGTCTCTCCCCTGGATTGTGGCGTCCTGTGGGATCTCAAGGCCAGGTTTTTAGAGGCTAAATCTCACTGTTACTATCCTTTTGATGTAGAGCATGGGTGGACTCATTAAGGATGCTCGTGCTGCTCATTAGCAGCCTGGCTGTCATCATGCCAAGGCCGTCAGCGTGCTGGCTCAGCCTCACCTCGTGGAAGCTCCTTTGGGATCCCAGGGCTGTGCCTCATCCTGCCCTGACCCTGTGCCTGTCTGGGTGCTGTGGGGCACAGGGGGTATTTGCAGCCTGTGGTGTTTGGATGGAGGTCCAGCAGTGGTTCTCTACATTCCCTCCCTTCTTGTGGAGTTCAGCCTTTTATTTCCATCTGGCTGGGGCCTGTGCAGAGCCCAGAGGTCTGATGGGCCCAGTTGGCCCCTTGTATTGGGGTCTCACATCCATGTATTCAAAGCACTTCAGTCTTTGGCTCACGTAGCCTCTAGGTTTGTTTTTAAGGTTATGAGCTTCTGTGGCTGCCACCTTTGGTTTTCTTGCTGCATTTATATGGATTTGGTGCTCTTCTGAGATTGTTTTCCTGGTCCCAACTTGGATTTTGCTGGCAGTGGGAAGCCTGTGTTTACCTGTGCATCCTTCGGATGTGAGAGGGAAAGGGAGGCACTGGGAGTTGGATTTCTGGCTGCCCCCAAATCCAGTGCTCTGCTCCACTCTGCCGTACTATAATGGGACCCTTTGCTCCCCTATGAGCATTTGTGGGGCGTGGGTGGGATGGAGGGCAGTGTGGAGATGGTTTCTGCTCTGGGGTTGAATTTCCTGGCCTTGGTTCCAATGTTGTTACTGGGTTTGTAACTTGTCTGAAGAGGCAGAGCGTGGCCTTCGGTACCCTCCTGCTGAAATGGGTTGTGAACCCTCGGATGAAGGAGCAGAAGTGGAATTATGAGACTTGCACAATGTCTTAAGTGTCTCTGGAGGTGCTCAGGTGGATGGTAACTAAATTCTGAACTCTTTTTCATGTTTTTCAGCTCTGAAAAGATCTTTTGAGGTCGAGGAGGTAGATCAGTCTTCGAATTCCTCCACCCCACAAAGACGGGCCCCGAACACCCTCCTCAGGTCCACCGTGTCCAGCTCCACGCAGAAGTTTCAGGAACTTGGCGCCAGGAATTCGGAACCATCCGCCCGACATGCAGAACCCACAGTCCAAAGATCACCCAAGCCCCCTCTGAGGAGAGTGGAGCTCTCTGGAACCAAACTGCCCGAGCCAGTGTCCAGAAGAACAGAAATCTCCATTGACATCTCATCCAAGCAGGTGGAGAACTCCACCTCAGGGTTGTCAAGGTTTGGCCTCAAACGAGCAGATGTGCTGGGTCACAAACCCCCCGAGCCCACCCCAAGGAGGACTGAGATCACCCTCGGCAAGCCCCAGGAGCCGGGTCTCCGGAGGGTGGAGGCGCCGGCATCAAAGATCCCGGAGATGCCGCAGCGAAGAGCTGAGACAGCCAGCGCTCCCGCGCCTGACACGGCCACCAAGCGCGTGGAAATCCAGGTAGCAAAGGCTGCTGAGGTCTCAGCCCCACCAGCACGGCAGGTGGAGAGCTCAGAGCCTCCCCTGCCCGCCCAGCCTCCCCAGGCAGAGCCAAAGCTGCAGCCGGTGCCGATGGAGAGCCCACCAAAGAGAGAAGAAGGTGAGTAGAGCTCTGGGCAGCTGCTGGGGTCAGACCCTGGCTGGTACCTGCCACAGGTCCCCATGCAGAGATGCCAAGCACTGTGTGCTGCTCTGTCAGCTCTGCTGGTGATGCCTTTCGAGGCTGCTCTTGGATCTGTGCTTGGATGTGTCTACATGCATAGCTGTTATCCTGGGGTTTATCCTGGCTGAAGGAGCTGTCAGTTTGAATAAGTAATGCCATCAAGCCTATAAGGAAAGAAAAGAGAAAATGCTAAAGGCCCGGGTGCTTGGAGAAAAAGACAGTTCTGCCAGCTCAGGCCCTGTGTGCAGACCCACCCACCCAGCCAGCATCCTGGGAAGGCTCTGGGGTGCAGGAGGGGCGGGGGCTGTGGAAGCGTTGTTGGGATGGCTCCTTGTTTAGTGTTGTTGCTTATGGTTGTGGGGCAGAAACCGCCTCTTCATTAGCAGGAGTCAGGGTTTTATTGACCTTGGAGCCGAAGTCTAATAACATCATGGACCAGAGCCACTATTAAACTGGAGCCCTGGCTTATATTAGCTCTATCTTGTTTTCAATTAATCCCGTATTAAAGCCATCTTCCCTCCCCCGCCAGCCGTCATTTATTCTCCCGAAGGTTTAGGAGATTTTTTTTTTTTCCTCTTCTGACCTGTTAATTACTTTTCCATTCCCCATCACCCACGAGCTCTCTCCTGTGAGGGATGCAAGGCACCACCTCCCCTCCCCACCCTGTGCATTTCCCCGGGGGCTGTGGATGATGTGGTCCCTCCCAGGACCTGGGAGGTCTGTGCCTGGCCCCAGAGCTGGGCCGTGTGCCCTTGTCTCACCCCACCATGGGTTGGTCCTCTGTCCTGCTCCATCCCCTCTCCCTGGGTGCAGCCCTGCAGTCAGAGGGCAGTGCAGGGGCTGTGGAGAGGGCAAGTTTCAGTGTGGGCAGGGTCTGAAATCAAATCAGGAGTCAGCAGTGGAGCTGACATCAAACTCACAGGGCTCAAGTGGGTTTCTCTCACTGTGTATGGCTTAGGCGTGGCTTTTCTGAGCTGGATTTTAAAGAGTGCGTCAACACCTCCAGCAGGTTACAGGTTAGTCCATCTCCAGCTGGGCATGGCTGGGCTCTGAGCCCCAGCCCAAGGATAGGGTTTGGCTGAGCCTCCCTTTTTTGTCCCCAGCTGCCATGTGTGTGGTGCCCAGGAGGCCCATCTTCCCCCATGGGTGGGTGCTCAGCCTTGTCCTACTGGGTCTGGGCTGCTCTGAGCTTCCCAGGCTTTGAACTGAGGATGGCTGGGCACTTTAAGAGCAGAAGACCATCTAAAACTGCTGAATCCTCCAGCTGCCCTGGGCAGGGGGAGAGGGAGAACAGCTGCTGGGATGAGTGTTACCCATGAGCCCAGCTGTCTGGAGTCTGTCTTGCAGCATGAGCCAGCCTTGGTCCTGGTACAAAAGGGGCTTTCAGTCCAAGTGTCTCCAAAAGTCACAGAATTACAGGATGGTTTGGCTTGGCAGGGACCTTAAATATCATCTAGTTCCAACTCCACTGCCATGAAGAGCCAGGAGACAAAGTTGTAGGGGTTGTGAGGGCTCTATCTTCTTTTCCCTCTGTGTCAGCATGAATCCACAGACCAGAGTCACTGCCAGAGCAATTGTCCCCTTCCTTATCTCCACCTCCTCCATTGCCATCACTTGAGGTTGCCTGGGTTTGCTTTCACACAGGACCCCATTTTGGGGTGCTCCTCCCATTGTGGTCCACAAAACCCACCCTGAGGTGATGCTGGGTGGGTGGATGGCATCTCTCCTTGTCACTGGTGTAAGTACACAGAGAGATTTGGGGAGGCTGCACAGGGACCCTCAGGATGTCCCATGGATGGGTGCAGGCATGTTGCCAATGCTCACCAGCTCCACTGCAGCTCTGGCCCCACCACAACCCCCAGAGTGAAAATGCTGGCTCTCTGATGTCTGCAGCAGAGACAACACATGGCAAGTCCTTCTCTCGGTGTTTGGGTCACCCAAGAGGTCCTCCCAGTGGATGCCCCTCAGTCCTGTTGCTCAGTTGCTGTCCAATGCAAACAGCTGAGCAGGGGGTGCAGGCAGCTGCCTCCAGCTGCCCTCAATGCTGTGCTGGGACTTGCCTTCCCCAGCTGTCAGGCTCAGCTGCCTTGCCCTTAACCCCTTGTCCCACTGCTGAAGGTATGCAGGAGAGCATGTTGTGCAGGAAGAGGCCGGTTGGAGGAGAAGAGCAGTCACAGAGAGCTTGGCAGTTCAGAACAAACCACAAAGGAAAGGAGTAATTATAGCCCTGAACTTCATTAAGGCAATGTGGCTGCTGGTGTGGGCTGAGCCTGCTCTGGAGCTGTGGTTCCCAAGGTGGGAGGAGGGCAGGAGATGTCTAGATGGGGCAAAAAATATTTTTCCCTGTCCCTGTTCTCCCTCTCTGAGTCACTGTGTTCTCCTACACTCCCAGGAGAGCACTGGCTTCACTTCTGCTGCTGTAACGTTGAGTTGGGCCATTGGTGACAGGGAGGTGGGACATGGTGCCCATCACAGTGTGATGTCCCACTGCACTGGCATCCCGGGCAAAGCTGGAGTTCGTGTCTCTGAACTGGCTGGTGCTCCCAGCTGGGACAAGGAAAGGTGATGGGATGACCAGGAGATGTGGATTGCTATAGCTGGAGTTGTCCAGAGAAGTCTGAGCAGGGCTGTGCAGTGGGTATAGGCAAGGGCAGAACATGCAGAGGGCAGAAAGAGGCACAAGCAACTGAAAACAGACATAACAAGGTGAGGGGAAGGGCTGTTTCTGAACCCGCAGCCTCAGGCACTGTGGGAGGCTGCCTTTGCTATGTAGGACTTACCAAATCTTAATATCCAAATATGACTGCCCGTGGGTGGTGGTGACCTCTGCCGAGCTCCTGCCGTGGGCAGCAGTTCACTCCCAGTCCCGGGGCACTGGCCCAGGATGGAGCTGGCAGACGAGGATGTTCCTCTCCTGCGCTGGCAGGGCAGGTCTGAGCAGGGTGTGTGGTGCCTGTGCCAGTGTGGCAGGAGCTGGTGCCTCCCTGTAAGGAGAGGAACAGGGAATCATTGTGGGAGCAGCAGTGCTTCATCCAGAGACATCCGCCAGCCCTTCGTAAAGGAGAGATCTTGAGGGATCCTCGTGAGCTGGCTGAGGGACAGGCAAACCCTCAGGAAGACCCACGTTGAGTCTATCTTGGCTAATCCTCCCACGTCCTCCTGCCTCAGCATCCCCTTCCACTGGTGCCTCCTGTCAGTGGTGCTGATGTTGTGTGGCTGAACGTCCTGGTCTTCTGTTGTTCCTCATGCCTTGCAGCGTGGTGCTGGTCAGGCTTGGAGAGGAGGGAAGGCATCGTTGGTCCCAGAAAGGTTAATTTTTTCCATTTTGGTTTAACAGTCTGTCTCAGCTCCTCCCACATCTGAACCTGTTTGTATTTGAGGTGAAGGCTCAGTTCTGGGATCTCAGGTGATGGCTTGGAAGAATTCCTAGATGAGAAGTGAAAGCTGGTTTGATCTGGTGGTCCTGTTTATCTCCACACAAGCTGCTGTGGGTGCCCAGGCCTTGAGGACAGCATGCAGCCAGCAAGGCAGGCTCTGCCCCACAGCACTGCTGCCTGCTCCTGCCCAGTGGTCCTTTCTGGATGCTCTGGAGCTTGTTTAGATAGATCAAGGCAGATACAATGAATAACAGGAATATTCACTTAAAGCAGGGACGTGACCTTCCTCTGCAATAGCTGTGGGATGTGCAGAACAGTCTGAACCATCTCTGAGCTTTCAGCTTGGTTGGAATCTTTGTCCCGTCACTGCCTGATGCTGCACTTTGGGACAGCTACACAAGGTGCCAGGTGCCTCTTAAAAGGCAGCAGGGGCCCCCTTCTTATTTTTGCTGCAGAACAAGCAGGGTGATATCAGGATAGTGATGTAATTCAGCTGTTTCACTCTTTTTTCCAGCTTGAACCCTTATGGAAAGAACTCCCTTGGAGTTGAGCTAAAATTAAAGCAATAAAAAAGTACTTAAATAAAAAAAAAACACCAGGGAAACTTTGATACCTACTGAGATCCTATTGTAAGTCAGGGGCCTGTTGCTCTGTGCTAGGAAGCTGTGGTGGGGGATGCAGCCCAGAGCCCCCCCCCAGCCTCGAGCCTCCATCCTGCCATGGACACCCAGCAAGCCCTGGGGTGACTTTTTTTCTGTGCTGTCCTCTAAGAGTGACACCAAGTGTGGGTCTGCTGTGCTGGAGCTCAGTTAGAGGGATTTGGACAACTATTAACACAGTGAGAAGCTTCCCGGGATGAAGAGCTGAGTGGAGATGCAGTGAGTCACCATTTCCAACTCCCAGAGCTGCACTGCTCTTTAGCTGTACAAAGAGATTAAAGCTGTAGGGAAATGTTTCCTTAAAACCAGCTGACAGATTTGGGCTAGATTACTGGTAGTCTTTTTTTGTTCTTGTTATTATTTTTAATGGGAAAGTGCATGCAGCCCGAGATACCAAATGGAGGGGCTGAGTGGGAAAGGCAGAGTCCCAGTTTTTGAACTCAGGTGCCAAAAATGAGATAATCTGGAAAAATCTAGACCTGCAGCGCCAGTGACTTGGAAGGAAGGAGCGGGAGCACGTGTGGGGGAGATGATCATGTCCCATCAAGGAGGCTCTGCCTGATCCAGGACGCCACGTGCGTGGCCTCCTGCCTGCACGGGGAGAGGGGGGGCCTGGCTCTGCCTGCTCCCCCCTCCCACCATGTGCTCTGTCCCTGGCTGTGCAGGGAGCACCCTCATTTTTGGGGTGTATTCTGATGCCAGGAAGGAGGCCAGGTGATGTAGTTGTGTTGGTGCTTGTGCTGCACATCCTTGCCTCCCAGGAATGTTGCTCCCAAACTCATTATGTTCATCTCTGGTCACACTGGCATTCACGTGTCCCCTGCTTTGTGTGGGCACAGTTTATGTGGATACTGTCATGGTCCCACATGGATGCTCCACCCTGGGCAGTGAGCCTGCCCGC